CATCAGTGCAATTTATTGTGTTTTTGCTAAGGTCTTTCTTAGCTTCGTGATGTTTTTTTTCTCAATGTTTCCTTGTCAGTTTCTTTGTCAAATGTTTTCTCGTTCATAATCTGTCAATTCTTTGAGTGACATAAATATTAATGCGCCCCATTATATAATTATTTTATTACGTTTGTAGGCCTTGCAGAAAACTGTTATGAATCTGGTTACGTTTCAAGTTCTGTCCTCTCCGAGCTTTTTGAGCCGAAAAGTAACTTTTAAACATGTTTTCTTTCAGAAAATGATGTTATATAAGTGATCTAAGTGTGAAGTCTTTTGGGTTGTTGCGCCGTGTAGTCTGGTGGAAGTTTACCGACGTTTCGGAGGTCCTTGCTTCCTCCATTACGAGAACACGGCGTAGCATCGCAGAAGACATCCTCAAATTTTGAAAATGTGGAAGATCTTCTGTTATCAGGACTTAGTGATAATGTAATTTTGAAAATGTGGAAGATCTTCTGTTATCAGGACTTAGTGATAATGTAATTTTGAAAATGTGGAAGATCTTCTGTTATCAGGACTTAGTGATAATGTAATTTTGAAAATGTGGAAGATCTTCTGTTATCAGGACTTAGTGATAATGTAATTTTGAAAATGTGGAAGATCTTCTGTTATCAGGACTTAGTGATAATGTAATTTTGAAAATGTGGAAGATCTTCTGTTATCAGGACTTAGTGATAATGTAATTTTGAAAATGTGGAAGATCTTCTGTTATCAGGACTTAGTGATAATGTAATTTCAGTAAATGATAGACGATTTATTGATTTGATAAGGTCAGTTGAACCGTAAACATTACCGATATTAATTAAGTTAAAAACAGTTCATGCTTATGTAATTGACCATAGATGTTTGAGACTGTGTTTTGAAAATCTGACGCCCTAGTATAGGCTGTTTTTTTTTATCCTGAGCAGTGCTCTGTTGCGGAAGGCTGAGCTAACCCGCTTTATGACGCGATGATTAATAGGCGTGTTGGACTTCACACCCCCAGCCCCCCACCCCACAGCGACCGTCGCAAATCAACCGGTGACTTGGGTTGTGCACTGATCGTGACCCTTCATCCACGAAATTAACTGCACTGGGACAGAGAATTTTTTTTTTTTTTAATTCATTATTTATAATTGTGCGTACTTCATTTTGCTTAATGTTAATTTACTTCATACTACCAGTAACCCCCCCCCTCTCCAAGAGTTTTTAGTAAACTCACCTTTATTAAAAATTTCCTATTTATTATGACGATGTTTTGAATATATAGCTCCTTTGACCGGTGTTCTATTGTGACACCGTGGAGACACACAATGATCTCTCTATGCATTGAACAGTTCTGCGCTGGACATAGATCGTTTTTGATCTGCATATCTGGGTATTGTTCCTTTACACCCAAACCATAGATGAAATAGACAAGGCTTGACGAAAAGATTAAAATTAGACACGTTATTGGAATTACAAATGCGATATTACAAGGCGTAATAATTCACGTGGTGAGAAACTATTTATTGTTTATTTACGTTAAATATTCGTTATAGGCCTATTAATTTTTTAAAACGAAAACCTTATGTAAAACCCATGTCTTATATCATGTATTAATACTGTTTTGTGATAGGTTTCCTTGAAAAAAAGTGACTGTATTTCCAGCTGAGCTTTATATAAAGTTGACCGGTAATGATCAAAGGTATATAGACACTAATTCCGTATTTAATCGAAATTGATCTGTGTTTTCAGAAATGGAACATTTATTGGTACAGGCAGACACTGCCATTGTTTTCCTCAGAACTCCTAAAGAGCACCTCACCAGTTCTGAGCGATTTTGATATTTTCTGTCATTTTTATCTTTTATTTCAATGTTTCTCTTACATCTCTTTTGTCTTCCTGTTCTCTGTTTTCGCTCCTTAACGTTGCTTTGTACGAACAGTATTCGAATGTCATTTCCAGCTGTCATCTCGTTCCTGCGATCTGCCTAATTCGTGCTCAGTTCTGCTGTCAGCTGTTTCTGTCAGCGGGTTTGATGGCTAAAAGAAGGTTGTATAAAGATCCTCTGGATCGTTGGTTCGTGCTTTGTTGCCTGCATTTTTCACTTTCTACATCCGAATTTTAACGCGTAAAACAAAATATGGCCATTATTATTGTTATAAAAGTTGTATTCCGTTGACGCCTTTAAAACCCGAAACTCAAGAATTCAGTCCGTACCGCGAAGAAAACACAACACTTCGCCATTACAAAAGATCAACTGGTCAACGCTGTTTAAGGAAATAATCGATGTTTATACCGAGAATCATAGTTCGTCTGAATAATATTAAGAACTCAGTCCGTACCGCGAAGAAAACACCTTACTTCGCCATTACAAAGATCGACTGGTTAACGCTGTTTAAGGAAATAATCGATGTTTATACCGAGAATCATAGTTCGTCTGAATAATATTAAGAACTCAGTCCGTACCGCGAAGAAAACACCTCACTTCACCATTACAAAGATCAACTGGTTAACGCTGTTTAAGGAAATAATCGCTATTGGCAACTGAGAATCGTAAAAAACAATAAATACAAAATGAAGACTTATTAATTGTTGGAGGTGGTACATATAGATACCATTGGGCCTGAAAGGATTAAGCCGGTCTGAGTGGAAACGTCTTTTATGCCAACTGGAAACGGAAATCTCAGAAGACGTTCCAATCGTAGGCGCAGATGCATTCAGACACACACGACAGATTTGCAGACAGATCGGAGGTATTGTAGTTATTCAATAAATTGAACAGGAATTTCAGAGGTTTGATTGTGTCCGCGTTTACCAGCTGTATTAATTGATAAGTAAGGAGTGTGTGGGCGGATATGCCCATCAAATACCAGCGTTAATTGAGTCTATCCACATGTATGTTGTATTTCGTATGTGGATTGTTAGGATCGTTGATTGATCCAAACGTTTCGAAGACAACTGTATTCATCTTAAAGGCTGAATGTATTTTCATTTTTGTCTGTATTTAAATAAAGGTGATTGGTTATCATTATACTGACGATAATCTATAACTGACAACGGCTGGGACCGAACCCTGGACCTTTCGAATAATAGGCTAGTGCGTTAACGTCACTAGACCCCCGGGGTTGGCCTAGTATTTGAAAGGGCAAGGGTTCGATCCTGACTGTTGTCGCTGATAATAAATATAAAGCAATTTATCTGAAGACGGAAGTAAAACCAACTCCCGAAACGTCGTCTGTATCAAGTGTACCTCAGATAATGGGTAAAATTAGACACGTTGTTCCTACAATGGGATGGACAGGAAACAAAGGATATTTGGTAAATACATGTGTTTTTCACCGGAGTCCTGTTTCCGGCTTTTGTTCGGAGTCGGGGCTATAATTTACTGTTTTGAAACGTAATCAAGATCCTCACGCTGTTTTGTGTCATGCGGGGGTGGTTGGGGGGTGGGGTTACAGCGGCGGCGCGTCGCTACTGAAAGGGGTTCGCTCAGTCAGTAGGCGTCCGGCCTGCCTGCAAGGTTGTTCTGGCACGTTCCGGAGGCTAAGCGACCATCAGCTTTTAGCGTGGCAGCGTAAATCCGCTTGACGTTCGCACATGTAGGAACAAAGTGGTTGTACTTGATCTCGTAAAATACCTTAATTTAAGTATCTATAAACAAGTTTTATTTACGAATACTTTGCACAGAAAGTATTAGACCCAAATTACCCCAAAATTAAATATGATGCAAAATTCAGTTGTGTATTTTATTATAGTGAGCGTAACTTTGATTTTCGTGATGTGATTTTGACTTCTTTTACACGGCTTGCTACAAAAACTGTGACTTTATTTTTCGGTATGTGCCAACGTTATTTTTTTAAAGAACAATAAAAATTTCTACGGACTATAATGAGTGTGAAATTGACATAAACTTATTTAGTATCTTCTAGTTCTTGGAATTTTAAATCCAGGAATGAAACATCTTCAAAAAAAAAACTCGTTCCATTTATTTTGATATGATTAAACTTTCTCTGATATAAGACGTATATAAGATAAAACCACGATATCTTCAGTTATTTGCAGTTCGATGCGAAACGTGAGTCCCGTATGGTGGATGAGCTTGCGTGCTGTCAGAATAACTTAGCCTTGACTTAGTGAAGTCTTCTTGGTGCCAAACCATTAAAGGCGTTGCGTGTTTCAAAGTATCTTTGTCATACAAATTGGTACGAATGGTTGTATTCCTTTACAATACACACACACACACACATATTAACCTTCAGTCCACGTACCACGGGCGCAGACTACAAGATATTAACCTTCAGACCACGTACCACGGGCGCAGACTACAAGATCAACACCATCTCATTCAAGACGCGACATATCAAGTCTTAACTACGTTTCAGCTACTTCAGGTCACTGATACCACTTGTTTGTTCTCCGAAGTCACTTCCTCTGATATTCGGAACACTTATTAATGTACTGACACTGTTTCGAAGGGTGTGTGTGTGTGTGTGTATCCGTTAGTGTTGCTCTGGTTATGTCCGAGTCGGTCCAGTTGAAGTGCGGAGTGGTGGAAAAATTCATTTCTTCATTAACGACCCCCAATTCACGCGCGATGTTCGGGTAGTGAACGTTCAGCCGCTGGAGGGAACAGTGGTTGTTACTGTGGAATTTCGAAAAGTGAACTGAGATGTGAACAGCTGTGTTGGTGGAAACCTTTAATGCCATTTGTAACATTTTGTGTACATAGAAATGCGTAATGTTTGTCTGAATCGTTATCTAATCTCACAGAAGAATGTAGGAAGTGGCCCAGTTTAGGACGGAGCACGTCTATGATTTTATTAAAGAGGAGATGAACTTAAGAAGATGAAATTACGACATGGAATCAGTATAACGATGGAGATTTTTAGGATGGAATATTTTTTGTGTCATTGGTATATAGAAGTTGTATTAATACACTAAAATGGATTTATCAATAGATAATTCAACTTAAGAGACTTTTATGCTGTGTTACTTAGCATTAAGTATTAATTATGACCAAGAATATACAAATTTATGGAGCAGTGAATTAAACATACCTCAGGTCAAAATGACCTTGGAATTGGACTAATACAGTGTAATGTACGGATACTAATTCTAATATGAATGGGAGTTTGACAGACGCCTGGTGGGACGATGAACAAACGCCAGGAGATGGCTCTATCGATTGGGGTAATGCCGTCGGCAACCATCAGAACTGGACGACATCGGAAGAAACTTTCACCGATGTTGTCGCTGTCGGAAACGTTGTCATCGACACCAACTACACACTTGACTTCAACGCGTCAGACGAGAGCGATGTCGCGTGGCAGCTACTTCAAAAACGCGCTCCCTTGGCAGTCTTGCTCCTGCTATTCTCGGTTGCTACAGTTTTCGGTAACATGCTCGTAATTCTCGCCGTCATCAGAGAGAGATACCTGCATACTGCCACCAACTACTTCATCACGTCACTGGCAGTCGCCGATTGCTTGGTTGGTCTTGTCGTAATGCCATTCAGTGCGGTGTATGAGGTCCTAGAAAACAGATGGTTCTTTGGTATGGACTGGTGTGACGTATGGAGGTCACTGGATGTCTTGTTCAGTACAGCTTCTATTCTTAATCTTTGTGTGATTTCTCTTGACCGCTATTGGGCAATTACTGATCCATTTACTTACCCTTCCAAGATGAGTGTGAAGAGGACGGCTGTACTCATTGCCGCCGTCTGGGTCTGTTCTGGTGCGATCTCGTTCCCCGCTATCGTCTGGTGGCGCGCAGTACGCACCGAGGCTGTACCCGAATTCAAATGCCCCTTCACGGATCATCTCGGGTACCTGGTGTTTTCGTCAACTATCTCATTTTATCTTCCATTGTTTGTGATGGTGTTTACGTATTATAGGATCTATCGAGCTGCAGTTATCCAGACTAGATCCTTGAAACTAGGCACAAAGCAAGTCATGATGGCGTCTGGAGAACATGAGCTAACTCTCAGGATTCACAGAGGCGGAAACAATGCGGGATCATCGAACAGCGGTAGCAATGTCATGGATGACAGACATATGTACAGTACCGGAAGTAGTGGGACACCTGATGAAATCTCAGGTGAAATTATAGACGCTACCGAAACTCTGTCACCACCCCATCATCACCGTCACCATTATCACCACCATCATCACCAGAATAACGGATTAACAAGACATTCGTCAAATAGAATCATATCTGGGAACACGAACAGTAAAAACATGTCCAAGAACTTCTCTTTGAGTAGGAAACTTGCGAAATTTGCAAAGGAGAAGAAAGCAGCTAAGACTCTGGGGATCGTGATGGGTGTGTTCATTGTTTGTTGGTTACCGTTCTTCGTGGTGAATCTGCTGTCTGGCTTCTGTCTGCGCTGTATCTGGAATGAGGAGCTGGTATCTGCAGTAGTGACGTGGTTGGGATGGATCAATTCCAGTATGAACCCGGTCATCTATGCCTGCTGGAGCCGCGATTTCAGAAGGTCAGTCACGTTAATCGCTTGTTTCAACATCCTGTAACCCAGTGTCGTAGAATTTATACGAAGGTAAACTATTTTATTTATTTAATCTTCGTTCGATGTTCCTACAAGTTACCTGAAAAGTCGCTAATGGTAGAGGGTTTTTATATTTAATTTTAAATAACAGACGTAAGTGTTCGTACCTTACCTCGTATTGTCAGGGTGATTAAGTCGAGAAGAATGAGATGGGCTGGGCATGTAGCGCGCATGGATGGGACAAGAGGTGTGCACCGGGTATTTTTGAAAAACCTGAGGGGAAGAGACCTCTGGGGAGACCTAGACGTAGATGGGAGGATAATGTCAGGCGGGATCTATGGGAGATAGGAGTTGAAGGAGACTGGATTTTGTTGGCTCAGGACAGAGCTTTGGTTAATTCGGTGATGAACCTTCGGGCTCGGTAAGCCATCGAGTTAGTTAGTTAGTGTTCGTAAATGTTTGGTCTCCAGAACTGGTAAACGGGTTTCAATAACGTGAAGTTATTCTGTTTCAGCCTGATTGAATAGAAGTTCTATTATGGGCGGGCCCAAGGAAAATATGTCAGTAATGAATGATGTTTTCACGTATGGCTGTGTCTTGATGGGTGGGATAAAGCAAAGTGTTTATAATGTAGTCAGTAAGATTTATGGCTGACATGAAGGTGTAAACATCTTGAAGGAGCTAATGAAGGTATTGATGAATCAGATGTTGTCTCATAAGACAGACTAGAGTAGGCCGCAGCATCTGCTTGTCCACTACGGTTTCAGATGAATTTACAGAAGTATGCGTTAGAAACTTATGGGACGAAGTTGGAATAAAGTTAGCTTCAATGTCTCTCTCTCCAGTCACACTGATTACATTTTAATTTTTGATATTGGAGATAAATTCTAATTGATTAAAATCATTAATTTCTGTGGATATCCTGAATGTAGATACCTGTCAGGACGAAACATGTTTTGGACAGAAGTTGTACAGAAAATTAAACATGGTTTATTACCAGTAATTAATATGTCTTGCGGTATTCGAGATAATTAAAAATTAAATTTTGTATCGTGCCTTTTCATAACACGAGAATCGTTGGACTTATTTTCATCTCCAGTGGTTTTTAAATTGTTTGAATTTCGTTCCGATATTAAAATCAGCCAATAACGTCTATGTAATCCTCTTTATCAAGTTAAACGGACTGAAACAGAGACATTCAAAGCGAGTTTCCGGATTTTTGTTCTGTTCAGACAATGGACACGATGACTACAGTAAACCGAAACCACACTGAAGTAGAACTATAAAATGTACAAAATTTGCATTAATTTCCGTACCACGTCTTTCTGTTGGTATATAAATAATACGAACCAGGAACTGTTCTAACTAAATAGTGTGATGTAGTGTAGGAACGACCTCATTATTTAATACAATGGATTGTCCCAGTAGCTAGGGTACACTTAACAATTGTCCGGGCTGCTTTGCTGATGCAAGTCCGGGTAACGTGGTCCAATAACAATGAATTTCACCAGCTTAGTGTACACACAACTTAGGATTCTGAAGGTGTGTTTACCCGGAAATGTGTCCGATACATTGATCATGCTCTTTACAGTGTTTGATTGTTTCCGTATAAAAAAAAACGAAATTTTGGCGAAATATCACTCGCGTGGATTGTACAGACATGTAGCCAAGTGTTTTATAGTTAATTTCGTAAATATTTTTGTTGCAATCAATTTACCAATAATTCGACAACAGACTGGATTATTTCATAGCAAGTAAGGCAATGCCTCAATAGGAATTCAAAACTCTAATTTCCGAAAATTAGAGCACTTTCGAAAAGATTTATGTTATTTAGGGATCAGTCATTAGTCGCTATCTTTGTAAGTTCCAAACGCATATTCAAGAAATGCAATAATCACAGTATGAACGAAATCGCTCCATATTTAATTAACTTCTTATATGTTCCTTGCATCGTTTGTATTTGAAGACTTGGGAGCAACATTTGCCTAACAAACAAAGCTGAAATATGTGACTAATTAAAAAATGTAATTTCACCGAACCGGGTTAAGCCACGTGGTTTGTTATCTTTAAATTTGTGTCGTTCAGAGTCTTACAAATTGAAATTAGAGGAGCCATGTTTAAATTTATCTCAGTTTTGTCAATTTTGTGCCAAGGGCTTCCTTTTTGAATTAAGAGCTTATTATAGTCCATCTAATGACATTAAATCGATTTTCCTTTCTCAAAATTTTCTATTGCTACATCTACTTTAAATTTCGCATTGTACAATCAATTCTTGTAATAAACTATCCAATTCCTTTCTTAAATTCCTTGAAGCCGAAGCGTGTCGAAGTAATATTTAAAATTTCAGTCCGTACCGCAAAGAAAACACAACACTTTACCATTACAAAGATCAACTGCTTAACGCTGTTTAAGGAAATAATCGCTGTTTATACCGAGAATCATAGTTCGTCTGAATAATATTAAGAACTCAGTCCGTACCGCGAAGAAAACACAACACTTTACCATTACAAAGATCAACTTGTTAACGCTGTTCATGAAAATAATCGCTGTTTACAGCCATAGTTGCACGTAACATTGAAACTAAAATGAAGAATTACTGATTATTGTAGTTTCGAAACGTCGATATTATTAACTTAATCTATAATCCCTCTTTTCCATTAAAATAATTCATAATCTTTTGCGATATTTAAACCAGTGTATCAACGTACTGGGCCAATTTACCGTTACAGCCCTTCAATTGTTAATCGATATATCGATATATATCGAGAAGCTGCAATCGAAGTAATTAAGCTAAGAAGCGAAATTAAATTATCTTACCCCAGTACAAGCGGAAGTTGACGGCTTGGTATTCCAATCACGATAAACCGCGTTCTGATGTAAATCCTGTGTTATATGGAAAAAAGTATGGCTTCTATTTTTACATCAAATCCTCAATTAGTGAGGCTGGCAGAAACCATAAATGAATGATCAGTTCATGTGCGTCACTTACTAATACGCGTTGCTTTAATTTGTTCATACATAATCGCATTCGCCTGGTTTCCGTGTTTGTAACTGTTAATTTAGAACAAATGTTTCATGAAAATTTTGTAAACATGTTTGCGATCGTCGTACTAAACCACTCGTTTTTCCTTTCAGTGGTTCACTATCGGTGGAAATCTGTGATTTTTTCTAAGGTTTATTACAATCTGAAATTTCAGTTCTACACATTAAATGTCAGCAAAGTTGCTTTGACATCACATCGGATGGCCAAAGTGAAAATTCATAGGGACTTGTAGTGGCAGGAAGTTGATACCGAGTTTCATGAAAATTCATCAGTTGGTTAAATATTTACTAAGTGGGATGAACACGCATGTGTGATAAAATAAACCTGTCTGTTTTATTAATCATGTAATATTTGGAAAGTTGTGAACATTGAAATTAATGTAACGTAGTCTTGGTTACAATATACGTATTGATTTAGCTGTTAAAAAAAGTATTTTAATACAATTTTTTTTTGCAATGGGAAGTCATGATCACGTTTATGCTAATTTTTATTATCTCAGTTCAGAAATACTGAGGCAAAGTGGTCTGTTTCGCTAGTAATTGGACAAAAAATTAGCTGATGAAAGTAATTTTCATGTATTTTACATTAATATCAGCATTATTACGTGTCCCATTTACGCAAATCCGTAATCGATCCTGTACTATAATTAACCTACAATCTGTGACATACGTAATGACGTGAAAGACTGCACATTGGGACGCTCCCATTGTAAGGACGCTGTCCCGTAATGAAGCCAACGGACCGCATACTTATCACGGGATTCCATTAAAACTGAAGTTCGCCCGAAGCTGTGTCATTGTTTCGCCAATTTTCATTAAGCCGTATTAATCACACGAGGAATCGTGACTTCGAGTCACTTCCTATACCAAGGCATTTTAGACACGCGGGGTATTGCCCTAATCTACCCGAAACCCCTTATAATTCACAGCAGACGAATGGACGAACCGGGAGATTTGACTCACTTTTGTGACTGCGTAGGGATTGGACGACCGGCAAAGACAGGGATGTTTGTTTTCATAGAACTTCGATCTAATCTGAGTTAACACTCACTAACTGTATTTTCTTCATGGAGTGTATTTATGGGTTTTATATGCTTCTCGGAATAAATAGCGATTATTTCCTTAAACAGCGTTAACCAGTTGATCTTTTGTAATGGTGAAGTGTAGTGTTTTCTTCGCGGTACGGTCTGAATTCTTAAATATTTCGACGAACTTCGGCTTTAAAGGGATAACAAGTTAATCTTTGTAATGGTGAAGTGTGGTGTTTTCTTCGCGGTACGGAATGAATTCTTAAATATTATTTAGACGAGCTTAGGCTTTAAAGGGTTGACGAAAGATAGCTTTTGAGAACTACGTGTTACGACCAGTAGAAATTTCTTCTATTTTGTTTAAGGTTACAGCTTTTATTGTAGTTTCTGTTGAAACAGATGAACGTGTTCTTGAAGGCTTCAGGACACTCCATCCCTGGTACTAAAAAAGTCCCTTTGCTTGATTAAAGTGTGTTACGTCACGCTCTAAATGAATAAAGTTACAAACCACTTCTAGAAGCATTCCTTGAATGCTGATTCTCATCAACACCTTAACATTTTAAACGAATTAATGTTCTTGTAGATACGTCAAAGTTATAGCTGAATGAAATAACAGCTAACTAATACGTAGTCTGATTTGAAATTCTCACGCCGGTGAGCGCTGTGATAAATTCCTACCAGACTACACGGCTATATAACCTAGCAGACAGACATTTTCTTACTGCAGAATACTTTTTGAGAAGCTAATATTCGCTCAGGTAGTCAGTAAATTCCCCGCAAGATTCATTACCGTGTTTACAAGAACCCGCCAGCGGTCCACATCGTAAGTCGAATGCAGTCCGCAACCTTCAACATTTCTACAAAATCCATGCCATTGTTATAGAGTTATAATCCAAGAAGTATGGATATAAAATTAGA